TATTCATGATGCTGTTTCTTCACTAATGTTCTGAAACAAACAGCTGAGTCCTTCACAGTACCGCTGGATGTATACACAAATGAATTTACACATAGTTGGAACATCAACTGATCTGATGGAAAAGCATTTGAATACAAATATATGCCATGCCTTTCAGATTCATAATCGAAAACTATGTATTGTTTTCCTCCCTGTTCGCAACTATGTAGCACTTTATGTTGGGCTATGACATAATCTCCCAGTTGGACAATTGAAGTATGTGTTTGAAATGTGCTCAAATGTGAACCTGCTCAAGGTATTAATACTTTTACAAACCACTGTGAGGCCTGGATGTTGGTTAAGGGTGTTATTCCAATGCATCTCAGATTATTATGCATAACCATGGGTAAGCGGGTAAAGCCTTGGTCCTCATTGGCAGTCTTGATTCAAACCACAGTTTGATAACCCTGCATTAGGGGCCAAAAATCCTCTCTCTGAGTATATCTAATGAACGCCACAAAAAAAGAACTCAAAACAGGAAAATACAAAAGTGTGCAACAACTTGGCTTCTCTACCATAAAGTGATGCGAACTATACCTGAGAGCAGGGGTCAAACACTTCGAGATTCAGCTGCCTGCCATCGATTGATAGCCTCTTATGGTACAAGGAGTCTGTGAACAAGAGACAAAAAAGAGAAAAAGGCATTATCATTTGACATCCATTTAATTACAGTTTTATTCTTTTTTATTTGTGCATTTTGTGTTTGTGAGTGACTCTGAAGTTTGCATCTATCCTACAGAAAAAAAACCACAATATGCAAAAGGCTTTTGAAAAATCTGTAAACTCTTACTTGCATTTGAAGCGTATTCACCAATAAACCGTCTGGTCAAGAACCGCACAAGTACAGCTGGAGGAAACAGAAGAAATCAAAAGCACCAATATCAATCACAGGATCATTACGCTCTCATTCCTCACAGGTGGCAGGAGTGGGGATTTAGAAAAAAAGACCCTCATTTATCTGTGCAGACACATCACAGTGTCAACGGTTTCTGGGACTGGAGCGGTGAGACTTGAGCCTTACATGAAAGAGGCTAAATGGTTTTGCTTGAAAGTTTGTGTACATATTTGGCAAGTTGAATGGATGCATTCACCCCCACTGTCTGCTTGTTTCTGCACCGCGAGCTAAACATAAAACCAACTGACTGGACAAGTTCTGGTCTCACAGACAATAAGTTTCAACCATGGGCTGGGGTCCCAGATCAGAACTTTAATGATGGTGGGCCTCAAGAGGGGTGAGACAGAGATTACATTTCAGCTACGAACATACACACATATAAGTTCTGTAGGTACATTTGGTTAATGCTGCATGCACTTTAGAAAAGACCAACGGCTTACAAGTCATCGTACTTTAACTCATCAGAAATTCTTGTTGCCATAACTGCTGAAGGACTGATGCAGTCAACGCACACAAGAATAAGACGTGCACTGAAATCAACAAGCAGAGCATAAATAGTAGCTCTTAATAAATGGGTGCAAGTATGCGAACAAACCCCAGAGGGTATAGACTCTCCACAGTTCCAGCTCTGCCACACTGCCAGGCACAGAGCCAATCGGTCCTAACTACCACCACAGAGACAGACAGTTAAAATAAATGACAGAAATCTGTGATAACACTCAGAAATGTAAAGAAGCACAATAAAAACTAAGACCTGTAGGATGGAGGAAAAAAATGCAATTTCTGTTGAAGAATACATTAGGACAACCCCACAATTATTCCCGTTTAAAATGTGTAAAATTACACAGAGGCATTTCACATCAGGTGAGCATTATTATGACATCATTACACAGCATTTAGAAGGAGGTCTGCCTTGTTGAAACCTCAGAGATTTAGTCTGATGTGCTCCTCACTGCTCACCATGGAAATGTCAAAACAACTACCCGAGGCCTTCAAAAAGCAGGTAGCAGAAGCTTATAAGTTTGGTGAAGGATTTCAATAGTTCTCAAGAGACTTGAAATTAGCCATTCCACTGTATAAAAAATAATCTACAAAACAACAGCAAACATGTCCAGGTCTGGCTAGCTAAACAAGCAGTGCCCAGGATGAGACAGCAAGATGTTCACAGAAGTCTCTAAAAATGTCATCACGAGATCTACAGTGAGCTCTTGCTGCTGTTGATATGAAAATACCTGCCTGTACAATCAGAAAGAGACTACAAAAGTTCAACTTTCATAGGATCTGTGCAAAGAGGAACCCATTGCTCTCTAGGATGGCCGGACTAACGCTTGCCAGAGAAAATGTAGACGACTCGGACCTGTGGAATAATTATAAATTAGGCGGCTGGGTGTCCTTTCTCCTTTCTCCTTAGTTAAAATAAACACTTTTTTTTATATAGTTAAAATTTTATGTTTATTTGTCATTATTTCCCAGAGATGAAAAAAAAGAATCTGTAAACATTTTTCATAAAAGAACAAAATATTTATCTACGGTGTCCTAAAATGTATTTTCATTCATACTAACAACAAAATACATTTTTAGCGATCATCATAGCGAAAAGAAACAAATACCTGAAATATAAATGACAATATGTGGCTTTATTTTTACTTTGGTCAGCAGTAAACATAGAACCTTTTTCAGTCTAAGAAGTTAATTTGACTTTATTAAATTCTTAAGCTTAAAAAAGTGGAATGTATAGAACTGAATGGAGATGTGGTTGGATTATTTTCATGAATAAAGTAGTATAAGCAGGCATAGCCAATGCTTGGAAAGATAATTTGTTCAGCAATATAACCACTTGAAAACAGTCAATGTTAATGTTTAGAAATTATTAACAAAAATTGTGCCCATATTAGAGAAAAACTCTTAGAGTTTAGTGATGGGTGGGAGTCCTCTCTGGTTTTGGTGTCGCTTTTTAAAGCAGGGCTACAAAACATAGCATTAAGCGATCAAGTTCCACACATAAACATTCTGCATGTGTTTAGGTTTAAAACAAGGCTGTTTTCGTGTAGTACACATGCGTACCGAACCGACAAGGACATACCAGATATTTTCACTACAAATACGTGCAACATTATACTCCTACTACTCAGCAACTCTACTCTGTGCCTTACACATTAAAAACTGTGGATGTAGTTTGTGATTAAGGTTGGAGTTAGGGTTAGGGATGGTTTTAGGTGTACAGGTTAGGGGTAGGTTATATGTTATTGGGCATGGAAGTAAAGAATTTAAGAACTGAAACAGGCCTGCAAATGGTGGAGGCCTGAGAACAATGCCTGCTGCTGGATACTTCTCATCAAAACTTCCATTTTTATTCTCTCTAATTAAAATTGTAAGGCTTTCCTTGCTAAAACGAATTTGGTCTCCTTTCCGATTCATCAACTGCTTGAGAAGTTTGACAAAATTATATCAATAATTTCACATTTGCTGCAGGAGTCACATTACTCTGGTAACGCTACCACCAATCTGTAAATAAATCATTCCTAATTATTATTATTGTAATGAAAAAACCGAAAACATAGTCATCTTCATTCTCAGATTTGAACAGTTGATTAAATGCCACTTTTTATACTAGTATTTAATAATAAAACACATTACTATTGCTAGAGTACTGTCAGATGCAGCTAAACACAAAAAAATTAAGAAATTATGCAAAAATAAATTGTGGGTTTCTGAAATCTTAAGATAACATATCTCTATTAAAAGGTTATAAGAAAAATCTGGTTTCTGAATACGACTCCCGTTGGACTGATTAGTTAAGCTCAAAAATCCAAATTACATATTTCTGTGTCTTGGGAAGAAGAGCCTGTAACTATGTCAGCTCTGACGAGTAAATTAACGGATAATGAATTAGCTGAATTGTCAGGCACTTGCTTTTAAAAAAAATCTTTTAAAGTAAAGCAAATGTTTTCATGAAGCTTGAACATGACAAGAGGACTACGAACTTCTAGGTTACTTTCTATTGCTAATCATGTCTTTTGTTTGTCAAAAAATAAATGAAGCAAAAAAAGAAAGTTGAAGAAATCACCAAAAATATGTTACTTTACCTCAGGAATATGTTACACAAGAATCTGGTTAATTAGGTTTTAAACACAGAAATCTCTAAAGTTACATAAGTAACGGATCATTTACATTGATGCAGAAAAACAAGCAGGTCTCCACATGCCTTTGCCTTCGAAGCAGAAAGGAAAATAAATAAATGAAAATTTTTCTGTACTTGTCTGTTATAAAAGTTGTTTTTGTGCCTCACCTGATTTCCCAGCCCCCTGGCTTCCCAGAAGGGCTAGCTTGACGTCGTTCATGCCGTTTGATTCGTCAGGTCCTCAGCTGGTCCTCTGGCTGAAGCTCCACGTTGTGTCTGGAATTCAAGTTTGAGTCTGCACATTATATACTCCTCAGAGTCCAGACAGGATGGTGAAGGTACAGAACTGCCCCCTCCCGCCCTCTCTTCAAAGAGCTGTTCCACTATTTAAAGCCAGAGGGAGAGAAGAGAGAGGGGAAAACAATCCCCCCCTGTTTTTCTGTGTTCCAGGAGCTCCTCAGCTTCTTTCTCTCTGTTTTTCTCCCTCTCTCTACCCTCATTTCTGTTTTTTCTCTTTTTCTATTATGCTATAGCTCTCTCCCTCCCCTCACTTGTTGCTCACTCTTTTTTCATTTCCTTCTTCCGTTCCTCCTTGCTTTTTTCTTATATATCTCTTTTCTGTCTTTGCCCCCTCCCACGCGGTTGTTCAAATGTCAAGCCTGAGTAAATCTATTGTGCTGATTCTACCCTTAACACTTTATCTGTAGTCTCACTGCCATCTGTGAACATTTCTAATATTCTATTATTCTATTCATATACAAATGATAAAGAAGCTCACTGCTTCCTGGGAAAATTCAAAGTGAGTTATTGTTTGAAACCACATTATTGATTCTCTGTATTGTGAACTATTCCACATTTTATCGCAAACTTTGGTGCATTTCATTAGGATCCGATGTAATACACCAATACAAAAGGTTTCAACATTTTACACGGAAACAAATGGGCTGCACGGTGGCGCAGTTGGTAGCACTGTTGCTTTGCACTGTTGCTTTGCAGCAAAAAGGTCCTGGGTTCGATTCCCGGAGTTTGCATGTTCTCCCCGTGATTGTGTGGGTTCTCACCGGGTACTCCGGCTTCCTCCCACAGTCCAAAGACATGCCTGTTAGGGTAATTGGTCAATCTAAATTGCCCTTCGGTGTATGAATGAGTGTTGTTTGTGTGTTGCCCTGCGATGGACTGGCGACCTGTCGCGGGTGTACCCCGCCTCTCGCCCATAGACTGCTGGAGATAGGCACCAGCTCCCCCCGCGACCCACTATGGAAGAAGTGGTAGAAAATGACTGACTGACTGACAAAAACAAATCTGTTTAATCTGATACCCGTAAGTAAATGCTTTCACTAAATTGGTAAATAAATTTCATAAACACTGTATCTCAGCATTGCACAGAAGTAGGGAAAATTTTGCAACAACGTTTCTTGGCAATAAGTCTTGTGCTACTGGAAAGTCTGTTTCCCAGAGGTGTGAATTTGAAGACTTGAATTTAAATGGTGGGAAAAATTTACCTGTTAATTGGGAGGCAGAGTTTAGTGTAGATGTTTATCAAATCCTCTCTGCCAATGCCAAGTTGTTTATTCTGCTATTGATTCTTGTTTGGTGTTGTTTATTGGACTGGATGAGTGAAGGTTTAAGAAACAATTTAATCAAGTGCCCTGGTAGTTTGTGGGGGAACTGTATGAAGCCAACAACACCATGGTATCTCCTCTTCATGCCAGTCATCATTCTGGTCACTGTGTGGGATGGTATCCCATTCTTCAACCAGCGTTTTTCAGCAGCCCATCAATGTGGTTGTGTTTGTGATTCTGGTCCGAAGAGCTGATCTCACAAGTGTTCAATGGGGTGGAGGTCAAGGCTGTCATATTGCCGGTTCATTTCCTGACCCACATGTGGAACCACTCAGACACAGGGACAAAGAGAACTTTTTCAACAAGTTTATTTTACAGAATCGCTAGAAGGCTGGATACAGGTGTCAACAGGGCCTGGATCATTCTGCAGAGGAGAGGTGGGTAGAATTTATTCCGAAGGGAGTGAGTTTGGATGTTGACAGAGAACATGGAAGGCTTATGTTTCTGGAGGCTCTTAGTATCTTTGAGGGAGGCTTACGCTGGGGCGCTTCCTGGAGGTGATCCATTTGTTTGGTTTTTGGTTGAGAGGCTCGGCTGGATCGGAGAGTGAGCGGGCAGGTGCTCAGAGCGGCTCGGCTAGTTAGCTGACCTCTGGAGGAGGAATCTTTCAGGGGTAGAGCGATCCTCCACAAGAACTCAGAAAACCCGGAAAGGAGGTCGTCAACCAGACCTAGGAGCGTAGCAACAAACAAGGTTTAGAACTGGAAACTACTAGAAGCTAGGTCATGCCAAGTTTCTGAAGTTTAACTGAGAACAGAGTGGCTTGAGGTTACCAACTGCGTGGACCAACAGGCAGGGAATGTTTGTCCAGCCGCTCCTTTTAAGCAGTAGAGATTGTCCACAGGTGCGCTGTGATCAGCTGGTGCCACGCCCACCACCGAGCTCCTGGTGAACAGCAGGAAGACTCACAAATGTACACAAGCACGCACCCACACACTCAGTCACACCCCACCGTAACAACGGCTGCATGCAGACCATTCCATCCTTTCCACTGAACGTTTTAGAGGTAGGCTCTGATGAACACCGCTCTGTATGGGAGAGCATTGGCATTGACACCAGAGGATGGGATTGCCTCGATATCTCGAAATCTCTCTGCATTGAGATTACCCCCAATGATGTCAGGCTTTGATTTTTCAATGAGTGAGGTGCCTTCCTGCACCATCACACTGCCTCCACCAAAACTGTCTGGCAATGGCAGAGAGAATTTAACAGATTTTTCAGTAGTGCATCCCTCCCAAGTTTTTCTTACAAATATTGGCTTTCCAAAGGAAGTAATTGAACAAAAACAAAATTCTGGACTTTTTCAGTGTGAAAGTATGAAAAATTTGAACAGAAAAATCAGTCAGTCAGTCATTTCATCATCATGACTGACTGACTTACTGATGACAAAATTCTGGACTTTTTCAGTGTGAAAGTATGAAAAATTTGAACAGAAAAATTATTTAGACCTAAATTTTACCAGAACAAAGTTTTCAACAACTCATTAGGTCAGATTACATAGTGATATTTTACCACCATGTAATTCACAGTTTCAAAGTTTACTTTTTACAGATAATGTTTAGTTACCTCTGGTCTGTTGAATGAATGTTTCTGAACCATTAGGGTTTCTGATAGTTCTGCATCAAGATCATGTTTCAGATGTTCCCTAAGGTCTTTATCCTGCTTCATACCACTTGAACTTTTTTTATAACTTTTCATGTTATATTCACAACCTTCAATGTATTGTAAAGAGATTTTGTCACAGACCAACACAAAGTAGAGCGTCATTTTGTAGAAGGAAAATGATACATGGGTTTTTAAATGTTGATGGATATTACAATCTTAATAGTGACATATGCTGCTTTATTTAATCTCCCCGAGTTAATACTTTATAGAAGCACATTTCACTGCATTTTACCAGCTTTGCAGATCTAAAGACTGTATTTTATGTATTTGAGGTACTTTCAGGTATCACATGTTCAGTCAGAATGGATGGAAAACATCTGTGAAGAAAGATTTTCAAACCTTGCCACAGGTTACCAGATTTCGGTCGGAACTTTGTCTAGACCATTCTAACACATACTCTGATCATCCTCTGATCATAACCATTTCATTTTAACTTTGGTTGTATGTTTAAGGTTGTTCTCCTGCTGAAAGGTGGACCCTTACCCCAGTCAAGTTTTTTGAAGCCTTTCATAGTTCTCTTTCAGATTGTCCTGTATTTCTATCTTCCCATCAACTCTGACCAGCTTCTCAGTCTTTGCTAAACAAAAGCATCTCTTCAGCATGATGCCATCACCACCATATTTTATTTTGGGGATAGTGTTTTCAGAGTCATGAGCAGTGTTAGTTTCTCACCAAACAGCATTTTCCATGGAGGTCAAAAAGTTCAATTCTGGTCTCATCTGACTAAAGAACCTTTTTCAACATGTTTGCTATGTCCCCCTACAAAGTTTGTAGCAAACTCTAAATGGGACTTTAACTGTAGTCAGGCCATGATTATGTCTCAGTCTCTCATTGCACTGACTCAACACTTAGAGCTCTATGTAATCATCCCATCCTGATGTCATCAAATTCTGACAAAGTGGAGGTGTTTGCCATGTCTTCTTAGATAACCATGAGGAACCTGAGGGAATTGCCCCCATCGCCTTCTTCAAATCAAACAAATTGGTGTGAAATGTTTGTGCAGAAAATGTATTCATTTGTGAGCTCCGGAAACTTTTATTAACATCTTTAATTTGAAAGCGGCACAAATGTAGCACAAATGGTTGATACTTATTGTTTGACGAAAATAGATTCAGTAATTTTTTATAAACTTTTTCTTTACATTTAAAAGAGTCGTGTTTCATAAAGCATAGATAAGATCATACTGACTCGAGCAGTGATGATCATTAGTTACTGATTTCATTCTTGTTAATAGTCTGATGATTATAACTGATCAGAGGTCAATTATGTATCCAAACTAGCAGAATAAGATCATTCACATTAAAGATTATTGACATGCATCCAAAAAACTGTTTTTAATAATAGCTTCATAGCCATATTGAAGTGGCATCTTCTGTGGAATAAATTGTTTTAGCTCAATTTAAAGTCATTTTGAAGGTCTTTTTCACAGACAATTTCTACAGTGTGAAAGGTGCACATCTGTGGGTATCTCTGTGTGCATATGTATGTAAGAGGGCAGTTTTCTGAGCATCTATGATGCTACAGTGGGTTTATAGTTGTGTCATACTCTTTATGTTCGGGTGGTGTCAGGACCTGTGGGTCTTTGTGTTTTATGGGAATCGTATTTGTCTAAAATTGGAGTATTTTGGGTTGTCCAGGGTTTTTACTTAGAGCATTCCCTACTTAGCGTATGTCTTGTGTTGAGTTTATAAGTTCTTCCTTGTTTTCTGTTCTCTGAGTTTCTGTTTAGACTCTTCTTTTAGTTTTAGTCATTTACCTTTGATATTCGTAATCCTTTATGGTGTTTTTTGTTTCTGACTCGATTTCTTGTGTTCATTCTTGCTAATGTTTATTAGTACTCTTCTCCTCATAACCCCCTTACACTTGCCCACACTTCAGACTGCCATTAATGTACTGCACTTAGTTTTCGCATGTCCAACTAACTCACACCTTCACAGCATTTTAGTCCCCTGAGATGCTGAAAGCTCAGGATATTGATTTGTAATGTAAGTTATTGCTGGTTTAAACTTCTCCACATTGTTTCCTTGACCTGTCTGGTGTGTTCCTTAGTCCTGTTGATGCCGTTTAATCAGCGATGCTCTCCAAAAAACACCAGAGGTCTTCACAGAACAGTTGTATTCATACTGCTGTTTTGTACTTTCTGGAAGGACTTTGTAGGGCTGGATTTGATTATGGGGTATCTGAGTAAAGGGGGGCTGAATACAAAAGCATAGTGCCTTTTTTTAGATTCTATTTCGATTTGTAAAAAAAAAAAATGCAGTCTGCTGGCACACCCTCACCACTATATAGTTTTCCTTTCTCTTATACACAGTTATACACTTCTATGTGTTGATCTGCCACGTAAAATCTCATTACAATTGAGTGAGATTTGTTGTTTCAGTGTAACAAAATACAGAATAGGTTCAAGAGTTTAGACAAATGTTTTTGTGGGTGATATAATTCATTAAATGCATAGTCACTATTCCTTAAAATAAATAAATATAAAAGCAATAAAGTTCAGACTTAGAGTTAAAACTCTGTTAAGGTCAGCTATAAAGATCGTGATTTAAGCATCACACTCTTGGCATCAACTGGAATCAGTTAAGACCAGCAATCTATCACTTTCATCAAACAATGCTGCGGTTATGAATTACTTTTAGCTTTGCCAGCTAGAAAAACAAAAATTGTTTAAACTGAAACATTTTTGCCTCTCCTGACCTTCTTAAGGAGGTCAGTGTATTCTTGGGTCCATTTGCAAAAATGCCT